ACATATTCAATATTAGTATTATATATTTATTCAATAATTGCTCGATTTCTGTCGTGTTTGATGTTATTTTAATGATAAAACATCTCATTAAACCATTGCAATTATTTTAAAACAGGTAAAATGCGAAACGTAAAAGTTGTAATTTTCATGTTAGAAAATATTTAAATGCCTGAGTTCCTTACTACGGACAGATTCCCGACGTTGCAGAAGCGAGAGCGAGAACGAGAAATGAGGAATCGAGATGACACTTCCTCGAAAAGTGCCGAAGCTCGCGGCGATCTGTTTACGTATCGCTTTTCATAGTGACATCTCGCTTGCTCTTTACTCGTTCTCGCTTTCGCTTTCGCGATATCGGGAATCTCTCCGTAGCAGTGAACTTACGACTTTAAATACCTTCATGAAAATTACAACTTTTATGTTTCGCGTTTTATTCGTTTAAAAAATATTGCAATGGCTTCATGAGATGTTTTACCATTAAAAAGACACCAAACACGACACAAATAGGACAATTTATAAATAAATATATAATACAAATGTAAATATATAATACAAACATCTATTTAATTAAAAATTATGTCATTTCAATCTATTTGCGTATTAATGAAATGCGATAGAGTTTCGCAAAAGAGACTTTCAAATGTTTGATGTTATAATTCTCTAGCAAATACATAATAAGTTTTAGAGCTGGCAGACGAATATCTGGCGGCGGCGACGGTGTACGGACTCATCACCCGGCGGGTTGGGGTCCTCGATTTCCGTAAGTCGCAGTTGCGAATTTTCTAAAGGAAACGACCACCATTCCCTCGCACCGGCGGAGAAGTTATTATGGTCCTGCATTGACTCAGATAAAAAAATTTCCCGCACCGGCTGGATATGTTCCTGCCCCTGATACCGCCGTCAGATATTCGTTCTTTTGCATATTTTTTTTTTTTTAAGAAAACTGTCAGACAGTGATGCGAATTTGATGACGGGCTTGTACGAGAATTTCCCTCGCTATGCACGCACATACAGCCGGCTCGGTCTATCGGTGTGAGCCACGCGATCGGCAATCGTCGGCGCGCCGAGCGAGAGAATATCATTCCCTCCTTCTCGCTCTCGTTCTCGCTCAGCGAGCGAACCTAATTCTTTCTCGCCTATAACCTGAATCGCGAGCGCGACTGTCTCTCTCTCCTCTCCTCTCTATGACAATACTGAAAAGTTTTCTGTACTCGGCGCGCCGAAATTATTATGCATAATACTTTATTATTAATATTATTATTTGTAATATTTATTATTTGTAATTGTATAATAATGCTACAAATAATACAAATTTTTTAAAATAAAATTTGTATCATTTGTAATATTTCTAATAGTATTAATAATATTCAGCGCCAAGAAAATGAAAAATATTTTATTAATTATTTTGCGGAAGCGGGCAGGTTTACAGTTTTAACTGTTGAATTGTTTAATAATATTTTAAGAATAATTTTAAGTTGTACAAGGATATAATATGAAATATAAAAGAATATTGTAACAGAATCAAGAAATACGAAATGAAACCTCCTTGCTTTTATTTCAATATCCTCTAAGTTAACAAATATTCTTCAAACATACAAACATTATATTTTTATTGAGTAGTGCACTGAACAACTATGACATTGTTCTGAGAGTTTTTTCATTTAGAGCGATGAAACAGATATATTTTATGCATTTTTTTTCACGCAGATAAAAAATTTCACGGTTATAATTGTTTTTTGAGATTATTTTATAGTGTACGAAGAATATTTGTTAATTTAGAGGGTATTGTAATAAAATAAAGGTGGTTTCATTTTGTACTTCTTGATTCTTTTACAACTTCAAATGTTCTTTTACAACAATCCTTGTACAACTTAAAATTATTCTTAAAATATTAAACAATTCAATAGTCAAACCTGTAAACCTCCTTGCCCGCCTCCGCAACATAATTAATAACATATATTTCATTTTCCTGACATCGAATATTATTAATACTATTGGAAATAATATTACAAATGGTACAAACTTTTACAAATAAAATTTGTAAAAATTTGTATTATTTGTAGCATTATTATGCAATTACAAATAAAATTACAAATAATAAATATTACAAATAATAATATTAATAATAAAGTATTATACATAATAATTTCGACGCACCGAGTAGAGAAAACTTTCAGTATTGTCATAGAGAAAAGAGGAGAGAAACAGTCGCACCCGCGATTCAGGTTATAGGCGAGAAAGAATTAGACTCGCTCGCTGAGCGGGAACGAGAGCGAGAAGGAGAGAATGATATTTTCTCTCGCTCGGCGCGCCGACGATTGCCGATCGCGTCCGCGTGACTCACACCGAAGACCGAGCCGGCTGTATGTGCATGCATGGCGAGAAAAATTTTCGTGCAAGCTCGTCACCAAATTCGCATCACTACTGTGAGATAATAAATTAATAAGTTGAATGCTGAATTAATCAAAATGTTTATGTCAATAATATATATGTGTATTTCATATATTCTTTTATCACTTATTATTATCATGTACACAACATTCTTCATATAATATTCGCAACTTTTGTATTGTACTAATATTCAGATTGTTACATCACACAGATTGTACAAACATACACACACACACACGCACACATACTGAAAAAAGAGTTCTTTTCACTCCAAGTTTTACTTTTTATTTATTTATATGTTTTGGTTTCCGAAAAGATTAAAACAAATAAAATGTATGGTTTGATAACCGCATATATGAATTCACATGTGAAACCATGTTAAAACTGTTCATCTTCTTTTTGTTTTCTTGCGTGGGCATAAGTTTATGTTTGTTCTTATTCACCCTGCTTATCTGGCGGTGACTCTTAAATTTTTTTTCTAATGACACGAATAATGAGTATTCGACACGAATAATGAGTATTCGAATTATGGATTAGGATAGCGGCACGAGGCAAGGCCTACGCACTTCCACGCTAATTAACGAATGCTCATTATTCTTACCCTTATAAACTACTAATCCATGGAAAACAGAATATGTGCAATGTAATGCTTTGCTACTGATGTCGATATCTCTACTGGTTGCAGAGATATAAGTGAAAAATGTAACGGATAATTCAGCGCTAAAACGAGCATCATGTGTGACTGGTGTCTCTCTGTACCATCTACGATAACAATCGCAGACAACTGACGGCGCGTACCGCATCATTTTATTTCAGATTTTCTTTAGCTAAGATAATTAATAAATTCGCTGATATGTAAGTCTCATCATGTTATTGTTATGCGAGATTAGAGGGCGATAAATACCAGTGTGAATTCATTATTGCTGTCTCCTCTATTTGAATCTTGGGCAATGTAACAGAATTAGCCATACTTAGCTGCTCATATGTTAGACTTATTGAAGGAACAATATTTCTTTTTCACACCAAAACTTTGCAGAATCTTTTCTAGAATGTCATTGTAGTAATCTTATTTGTAGTTGTATTGTGATAATATATTTTCTCTCATAATAAATTACAATAACAGTGTACAAAATGAAAGAGAGAGAGTGCGTGTAATTATTATGACTTATATTACTGCAGGTATTACTATATATATTATATACAGATGTTTCTGAAGTAAGTTTATTTGTGGCTGTATATCAATTTACAAAATAGGCAATCAATCCTTGTAAAGAATTATATTTTTCACCTTGTGCACTGTCATTTTAATGTGCTAGGAGAGGAAATATATTACCGTATAAATACAAATGAGATTCTGCAAATAAGTTTTGGTACAATAAAGAAATGTTGCTTTTTCAATAACATATTAGTAGTTAAAGTAAAAGTGCCGATACCCGGATATATACCTAAACTTGGAAATTCTTATTATTTTGATTCTTAACCATGAATATTTAAATTTTCGATCATAAATAATATATATACATACATTTAATATATATATGTATATATATGTATTCTATGTTGAAAATTTAAATATTTGCATTAGAACAAAATAATGAGAATGTGCAAGTTTAACGTCCTATGACATATGTATATATATATATATTATAAATTAAATTAACTATATATATATATTAATTATATATATATATATATATATGTGTGTAGCTAATTTAATTTAAACATAATTTTATTGAAGACACCACATGTGAGGTTGTGATTGGTACGTACGACATACGTGCGACATATGACAACGTCTTTCGACTGATTGTAAACGTGGCTTGATGAGCGTGCAATCGAGGGAACAAAGATACGAGAGAGTTTCAACCACTAATCTTTTTATTAGCTACACTGATTGAAAAATCCTTTTGCATAATGAAAGTACTTATAATAACGAAGTCTGGAAAACAGAGTTTTATGTAAAATTCGACGAAAAATTTAACAACTACAGTTTCATTGTCATAATATTACTCTATGCATGAAATAGACAAGGATAGTACGATTGTGTCTGCCTGCAGCTCCATCAATTACGATTATGCGGAACTAATCTACTGTTCTGTTTTACCCCAAAGTGTAGCAAAAATATTCTGCTTACACACATATCCAAACCATTTTTTCTCAAATATTATTCTTTTTATACTGATTTCTGAGCTCATTTCTGTTACTTTAGTATTATTCTTTTATATTATGGCTAGTACGGAAGCAAAAGCTTTTGCATGGATAAACTGCAGAACTGTTATAATTAATAAATAAAGTTACGAGCTGACGCAGAACATGATAACGAAACTGTAATTTTGTAATTTTTCATTGAATTTTACATAAAACTTTGTGTTCCGTACTTCGTTATTATAAGTACTTTCGCTGTACAAAAGGATTTTTCAATCTGTATAGCTAATAAAAAGAGAAGTATTTGAGAAGATTGAGTCAATTTGTCGGTAAAACAGACAACTCCAGGATCCCCTTAATAGAGTCGATTGTTCTTATATAACAGACAAGTTTTTTTTTCGAAGAAACTGAATTCATTTCAGTTTTATGTCAACGAATATGTCTATTCGAGACAGTACGACTTCTACCTCCACGATGTGTACACAAAAAGTGGTTTATTATACCATAGTGGTCCTATTATTAAAAATAACATATTCCTATGTTTTGACTGAACAAAATCACTTAATTCCAGAACAATGGGCATTAGAAGGCATGCCCTTTTTATCAATTATTTTTGCAACGTCGGAATATTTGCCGGCTGGACCATGCAAGGAAGACACACGGAGATTTTTGCATGACCTACTTAAAGGTTCTCTTTGGGCTACGCAAAGTAAGTTTATGTAAATTATAATATGTTTCGCAAGTTAAAACTCTAGAAAAATGCAATGCTATTTGGTATTCAATGTATGTATTGATATTTATATAATACGATAATGTAAGAAACAAATCTGACAAGAAAAAGATACTTCACGTGAAACAATGTTTGAAACAAAAGTTATAGGGTTCAATGTAGCCATGATCAATAGTACTATTTCTAATTTTTGGTATTATTTTTTAAACTATACGTCAATTAGCTTTGTTTGTAAAATAACGTGTGGAGAGTACCAATATCAATATTAAAACTGAATTAAAACATGAAAAGGTTCAAATTTATTTATTTCATTATTATTTAATTCATATAAGTTCTAATAAATCAATTTACTTTAGTATCCCGAGTACTCAACTTGTGCATATTATTAACATAAGACCGTGAATATTAATGCGTAAATATTTTGTAAAATACAATTTAAAAATCGTATTCCCCGATAGCGAAATCTAGCAGATATTACGCTGTGTCTGCTGAAAATTTTGTCGACAAATTAGCAACAAAATGTTTATCAGCAATGCTCATTTGCTAGTAAAGTATGATGACACATTAACGGCAGAAATTCAATCAGGATCTGACATTCTGTAATTTAAAGTATTTAAAGTATTCCATTTAAAGTATTTAAATGGAATGTATTGCAAACATGCTCGATTTCTATCTCGCCTATCTGCTAACAAGTTATATTAGAACATACTATGTCAGCACACGATTTTCATATAGACACAGATGACTATTGATTTGCCATATTATTCTGACCGTATCTACTGCCAACCTGACGTCAAAATTTCTAACATTTTACTTATTAAATTGATATTGATATATTTTGCATTCTACATGTGTGTGTGTGTGTGTATGTTCACACATATCTTTCGATATTCTGTTAAATTCTATTTCAGTGTTCGATTCTTCTACAAAATATCCGGATGGTATATTCTACGGACATACAAGACATCTAGGAAATTTTGATGAGTGTTATAACATACAAGTTAATATCACAGAAGAGGGTACCGATGTTCATGAAATTAATGGAAAATATTGCTTAATCGATATTATATATAAGAAGAAGCAAACTACATCAGTCCAACAAAAATCATCAGAAACACAATATATGAACAATTCCTTAGACATAACCAATTCTTTTTGGAAAGTATTAGAGGTATGTTTGCGACGTTCAACAAATTTTATAATAAAGAAATTCAAGTTACGCGGAGATTCACCTGATGAAACAACATTATTGTAGGATACTTATATAATTACTTCAGTATATTGACATAATGTAATTATAAATTACACACTTTAAGAATAATTATTATATTCAAATTTTAATATGATTTGAAAATATTACATATATTTTAAACGATTCAGATGATGTAAGATGTGTGGATGATACAAGAATCATAAAATCAAAGATTATATTGGTAACATACATAGTGTCCTATTATGATATTCAAATTAAATATCTGAATTTAAAACGTGTGAATTAAAATACTCGCGAAACATCTAACGGAAGAGATTTAATGTAATGATATTTATATAATACGATAATGTAAAATACAAATCTGACAAGAAAAAGATACTTCACGTGAAACAATGTTTGAAACAAAAGTTATAGGATTCAATGCAGCCATGATCAGTAATACTATTAGGTCAATCGGAAAGTTCTGTCCGTTTTCTTGCAAAACGTATGACTTTATTTAAGAAACAAAATGAAAAAGTACATCAATCAAAGTATTGTTCATCATTAGCAATGACTTTTTCCCATCTTTCGGTCAGCAAGCGAATTCCGCAGCGAAAGAATGACTCATCTTTGGAGGCTATCCAGTCAGAGACCCATTTTTCGACGTTTTCATAAGAATTGAAGCATTTCTCAGCAAGTGCGTGTGCTATCGACCGAAACAAGTGGTAGTCGGAAGGGGCACAGTCTGGTGAATAAGCCGCATGGGATAACACTTCCCTGCGAAGTGCTTCTAACGTTTCCTTGACAGATTTTGTGACGTGAAGTCGAGCGTTGTCATGAAGCAAAATCACTTTATGCTGTCTCGTTTCATATTCTCGTCGTTTTCCGTGCAATGCTCGGCTCAAACGGATCATTTATTTTCTGTAGAAATCCCCTGTGACTGTTTGACCACTTTTCAACAGCTCATGGTACATGAGGACACACCCTTCTGATCCCACCAATTACAGAGAATTGCCTTCTTTCCGTGGATATTCCGCTTTGGCTTCGATGTTGAGAGTTGGCCGAGATCGCAAGTAGTTTTTCGACGTTTGGGTTTGTCAAAATAAATCCATTTTTCATCCCCAGTGATGATACGATGTGAAAACCCCTTTCTTTATTGCCTTTATAACAAGCAGAATTTCGCAGGTGGTTTTTCGCCTTTCAATGTTTCTTGGCTTCAGTTCATATGGGACCCATTTTCCTTCCTTGTAAACCTTTCCTAAGACTTTCAAACGATCGGAAATGATAGATTGAGCACAATTTAATGCTTCTGCAAGTTGCTTTTGCGTTTGACATGGGTCTTCGTCCACTAATGCCTGCAATTCTTCATCTTCGAATACTCTTGGCCGTCCAGAACGCTCTTTGTCCTCTACATCAAAATCACCAATTTTAAAGCGTCGAAACCATTCTCTGCATGTTTTATCGGAAGGAGCATTATCACCATAAACTTCTACAAGCATTCGATGAGCTTCAGCTGCAGTTTCCCTCCAATTGAAGCAAAAGATTAATACTTCGCGCTAACGCTTATTTGGCTCAAATTTCGACATTTTCGATGCAGTGAACAACAATATTATTCATGCAAACGTATACTTTTATCAGGTATGTCGGTAATTACTTTCCGGTTTTTGTAACAGATGTCACTAGCCATAAGTATGCAATGGTATGATTTGATACATATGTCATTTTATTCTACTGACATTAACCTCAAAACTACACAAGTTACATTCCGCCAAAATAACAGCGTTATAGATTAATAATTTTTTGAAAATGTCGAGTTTTGTGCCTGAAAACGTGCATTTGCGGCACGCATTACTTTTCTTGTTTAATCAAAAGAAAAAAGCCGCTGAAAGTCATCGTTTGCTGGTAGAGACTTACGGTGAGCATGCTCCAACCATAAGAACATGTGAAACGTGGTTTCGACAATTCAAATGTGGTGATTTCAACATTCAAGACAAAAACGTCCTGGTAGGCCGAAAACGTTTGAAGATGCGGAATTGCAGAAGTTATTGGATGAAGACCCAACACAAACTCAAAAACAGTTGGCAGAAAAGTTGAAAGTGAGCCGAGTAGCAATTTGTGAACGATTACAAGCGATGAGAAAGATCCAAAAGATGGGGAGATGGGTGCCACATGAATTGAATGACAGGCAATTGGAAAATCGAAAAATCGTCAGTGAAATGCTGCTTCAAAGGTATGAAAGGAAGTCATTTCTGCATCGAATAGTAACGGGTGATGAAAAATGGATTTATTTCGAAAATCCCAAGCAAAAAAAATCATTGTTATCACCTGGCGAAGGCGGCCCATCGACTGCAAGGCCAAATCGCTTTGGACGCAAGACCATGCTCTGTGTCTGGTGGGACTAGATTGGTGTCGTATATTATGAACTGTTGAAACCTGGAGAAACAGTTAATATTGATCGCTACCAACATCAAATGATCAATTTGAACTGTGCATTGATCAAAAACGTCCACAATACGCTCAAAGACATGATAAGGTGATTTTGCAGCATGACAACGCGCCGTCTCATACAGCAAAACCAGTCAAAGAAGTGTTGAAATCACTTGGATGGGAAGTTTTATCGCACCCGCCGTACTCTCCAGACCTGGCTCCATCCGACTACCACCTTTTCGCATCGATGGGGCACGCGCTTGCAGAGCAGTACTTCGCCGATTTCGAAGAAGTTAAAAAATGGCTCGATGAATGGTTTAGCTCAAAGGAAAAACAGTTCTTTTGGAATGGCATCCATAAATTGCCTGAGAGATGGGCAAAATGTATAGAATCAAATGGCCAATACTTTGAATAAATATATTTTAACTATCCATTGTATTGGGTGAGTGCAAAAGTTCGTGCGGAGTTTGTGAGTAAAAGTCACACAGTGATTAGGCAAACAAAAATCTTTATTCAATCAATGATATATTCTCCATCGTTTTCTATAATCTTTTCCCAACGTTCTGGCAGCATACGGATGCCTCGATCATAAAAACTGCGCGGTTTAGATTCGAAGAACGAAGAGACGCCGTTTTTTAAGGCCTCCAAAGAATCAAAGTTTTTTCCATTTAAATAATTTTGCAATGACCGGAACAAGTCATAGTCAGATGGTGCGATATCAGGAGAATACGGTGGATGCGTTAAGACATCCCATTTCAGGCTCTTCAGTTTGCGCAGCGTCTTTTTCGAAACGTGTGGTCTGGCGTTGTCGTGATGAAAGACGACTCCCTTGCGATTTGACAAAATCGGACGTTTCTCTTTTATTTCTCGATTCAGATTGGTTAATTGGCGACAGTACTTGTCCGAATCAATCGTTTCGCCAGCGGGGAGAAGCTCGAAATAGATTATGCCCTTGCAATCCCACCAAACAGAGAGCATCACCTTCATCGGGTGCAAACTGGCCTTTGGCATTGCGTCACCATGCTCACCTGATTGTTTCCATGTCCGTTTGCGCTGAACATTGTTGTAGAGGACCTATTTCTCATCGCCCGTCACTAGTCGATCCAAAAACGACTCGTTATTGAGCCGCCCGAGTAAAGAAACGGCTGCAGAAATTCGCTTGATTTTGTTCTTCTCGGTCAGCAAATGGGGCACCCATATATCGAGCTTCAAATCGAATCCCATCTTTTTTAAACGCCGAAAAGCGGTTGATCGGTCAACGTTTAGTGCTGTAGCAACTTCTTCTGTTGAAATTCGCGGATTATTGAGCACTAAAGTACGCAAAACATCGTCATCAATGTCAGAAGGTCGACGAGAGCGTGGCTCGTCTTCAAGGTTAAATTCTCCGCGCCGAAATTTAGCAAACCATTTTTCCACAGTTCGTTTAGCTGGTGTTTCATCCTGATAAACATCCTGAATGTTTTTTACGGCTGCGGCAACGTTTATTCCCTTCCGAAACTCGTAAAGCATAACATGCCGTAAATGCACCTTATCGATACTCATTTTTAAAGTGATATTTTTCGAAGCAGTTTGTATGAAAACAAATGATTTTTTTTTAATAACAGCTGAAGACGTCACCTTTCCAACGTTATATAATATGTAGATGGAAGTATTAATGACAACACTTTACGACGCTTATAACTCCATCTATTGAAACTCCGCACGAACTTTTGCACTCACCCAATAAATAACGTGTTTCCTTTAGCGAAAAAACCGGAAAGGAATTACCGACACACCTGGTATGTACTGAATGTTATTGACAGATGTCAAAACAAACTATTAAGCTTCCTTTAGACATTACAGGTTAACGACAGTTCTAGCTATAGCTACTTGTCGCTAAACGGACGGAACTTTCCGATTTACCTAATATTTTTAATTTTTATTTTAAATGGACAACTGGATTCCTGATCGCAAATCGAATTTCTTAATTACAATTTAATACCTTCAGTCGCAAAATTGAATGTTTAATTTAAATTGAAAAAGAAAAAAGTTGAACATCATGTAAACATCGCTATGTCGCATAATTTTACCTTTTCTCCATTGTAATAAACGTTTTGCTTATCGGCATATCGCTCTAGGAATTAAATGATTACTTACTTATTAATACTTTTGCACTTAGCAATTGGAAGGTCACCCATATCGTATACGCAGAAATCGTTTACAATTGGCTTTGTGTGTACCGGCGACCTGCAGTGCGGAAAATATAGAAACAGCCTTGAAAATATCTTTAAAAGGACTTGGAACAAGTAAAAATATTGAGTTGCAGACAAGTGTGCAACCTAATTCTTGTCATACAGTCAAAGAAGGGCCAAAGTTTACTCTTGGTGCCGGAGTTTACTGGTAAATTTTATTCGCATCACAAATGTGAAAAAAATATTGTACTTTAAATAATTTTTCAGTGTTGTACTTGTCGCTTTGCTGAGTCTGGTCATAATCAGCACTTGGTACGACCGTACGCCAAGTGGAGATGGAAATAATATGTCTGTAATACGAAATATCATGCTACACTTTTCTGCTCGGAGAAATTATGAAAAAATTTTCAACGTAAATTATACACATACAGGGCTTGACTCTATATATTTTATACGGTTTTTTATTATCAGTTTGACGGTTTATATGCATAATGTAATGCAATATATGTTTATTCCCATTATTAATGTAGTTGATATAGAAGAGGTATGTATTACTATTAAACACATGTGTATTAAAATTAACATGTGCAGTTATGTATTAATAATCTCTTTCTTGACATTTGACAATTATGTGTAACACGATATTTTTCATCTTAATGCTTGCTTTCAGATATACAAAATACCTTTGATTACATTAATAGTGAACGCTACAGTCACAATAAACATAATGTTCGCCTTGAGCGGCGTTCTACACGCATTTCAATTATTGAAAGACTTGGATCAAAATAAACAATTAAAATTTGTTAAAAATGTCGCATTGAGATACATGAGGTATGTACGTACACAAAGTATTCTATTTTAAGCTTCAGTGAAATATTTCGGAAGGTATGCAATGTTTCGAAAGCAAATGCTAGACGAAAGTAATAAAGCTTGCAAGGTGTATTTCATCCATTACGGTCGTTCAAAATTTTATTAAATTCATTATGTTTAAGTATTTTAGTGTTCTCAGCCGTTTCCAAATAGAATTCTATAATTCTTTCTCCCTCCTCTCTCTTTCTCTCTCTCTCTCTCTCTCTCTCTCTCTCTCTCTCTCTCTCTCTCTCTCTCTCTCTCTCTCTCTCTCTCTCTTACCCTCTCTCTCTCTCTCTCTCTCTCTCTCTCTCTCTCTCTCTCTTTCTCTCTCTCCCTCTCGGTATATTATTATAGATATAAAAGTTAATTTCAGTTTTAAAAATTCCGATGCAAAGCGAAGTGGATGCCATCGGTACGTGGCATGGAACACGCAAAAGTAACTCCAAAGACGCGGGGCATGACATCACATGACGTCACGTCTATGTCATAAAAGAGGATATCATCATAATCACGACTCAAATATTCATTAATTATATATTAAAATTTTATATATCAAATTGTTCTCTCCGTTATTGAATCAATATCTGATGTTTACCAAAAGCATTATTCAGCCATTATTAGCGTTGATTAAACCACTATTGACTTAAACCACTACCAAACGTCAAAGTACATCTATCGACATCGATTACAAAGCCCCACAAAGAAAAAGTAGTCGATCCCAGAGACCAGACCACGCTATTCTTATGTATTTTGGTTCGCTGAACACGAATCCGAGGTCAGTTTTCCCCATCACATCCTGTTTTTTAACCTTAAAAAAAGCTAAAAAATATCCAAAATCGTCTATTTGCTGCCTAAAAAATAGACACGGGATTGATAATGAGTGCTAAAGCTATATTCCATTCTACCGTAACGTTTTTGAGACGATGAAAAAATATTGTAATAGATTTATAGATCTAGGATTTTTTTTAACATAAAAAAATCGTCGCCCAAAAGTCGTCAAAATGACATTCATTTGTTCAGATCTCATTCACAAAGTCTTTGAAAAGCAAATAAACAAACAGGTGGATCAAACTCGATCTTTTTTATATATTTAAAAAAAAGAACATTTTTATTATTCTTTTTTATGATAACATACTCTCTTATTTTTCAAAAAATCTGTGAAGTGGATTTCTTTTACGTTTTATTCCTTTTCGTTCATACTCTCCTTTCAACATCCAACAGAAGTCTTCATGATCACATCCCGTCGTCCTTGATATCTTCGCTCCATTTCTTTAATATCTTGGTGAAAACGTTCACCCTGCTCTTCACTGTAATGTGCTGAAATCTCTGGAAATTGATTTACGTGAGAATGTAAGAAATGCATCTTCAGGTTCATCAGGTATCCCAACTTATCGAAGTTGTCAACCATATCAGAGATTACTTGTTTATAGTTCTCGCTCTTGTGGTTACCTAAGAAGTTCTTAACAACTCCTTGAAAGCCAAGCCACGCCGACTTTTCAATGTTAGTCATCGTTGTAACAAAGATCTGGTCCCTCAACATTTTTCTATTTGCGGTCCATCAAAAACGCCTTCCTTCAATTTTGCATCGGTCATCTGTGGGAATTGTTTCCCCAAATATTCGAAGCATTTTCCATCTTTATCCAGGACATTCATAAATTGCTTCATGAGACCAAGCTTAATATGAAGTGGAAGCAATATTTCTTTAGGGTCAACCAGCGGTTCTGCAATGATGTTATTTTTACCTGATTCAAACGATGCCCTTTTCGGCCATTTATGACGTGTATAGTGCTTGGCACGATCTCTACTGTCCCACAAGCATAAGTAGTAAGGTTCAATACGTTGTTTAAACGGATCAATTGTTGTTGATAAAGTTCGGCAGTGCCATTATGGTTTGGCTCTGTTTTAATAGTTCATGATATACTGCACCCTTGTAGTCCCACCATATACAGAGCATTACTTTCTTGCCGTGAATATTCCGCTTTGGTATCGATGTGGATAGTTTTCCTGGGTCGCTAATGGATTTCCTTCGTTTGAAATTATTGAAATATATCCACTTTTCGTCTCCAGTCACAATACGATGCAAAACATTTTTTCTTTTTTACTTGATAAGCAAGATTTCAGACATGGCTTTCGCCTCTCGATGTCTCTTTCTTTCAGTTCGTATGGCACCCATCTTCCTTCTTTGTAAATCTTTCCCATGGCTGCCAAACACACAGAAATTATTGATCGATCAACACTCAACAATTGCGCCAGCTCATGTTGCGATTGACACGGATCTTCATCGATTAGCGCCTACAATTTCTCCTCCTCAATCTTCTTCGACTGACCTGGACGAGGTTTGTCATCAACACTGAAATCATCACTTTTGAAACGTCGAAACCATTCTCTTGATCTGATGATTTATCGGTGGAAGCACTTTCCCCATAAACTCCTACAAGCATTCGATGAGCTTCAGCGGCTGTTTTCTTCAAATGAAAACAGAAAATGAGAACTTCCCGGAAGTGATGCTTTTTTGGCTCGAATTTCGACATTTCCGAACCAGATAAATACGATGTTATTGTTACAAATCCAAACATTTATCAACTGAATATTATTGATAGATATCAAAACTAAAAAATAAAGCCTTTTGTAGACATTAGAGGTTAGAAAATTACATAGTACAGCAATTGACCGCCAGATAAACCCAATTAATTCATACACCTAATATATGCACCAATATCTGTAGCACACTCAACGCAGTTAAAAGAGAAGTACAGTAATCTCAAACTAGTTCTTGAAAAAATTAATTATTCAGTCCACAAGTGGCAAATTTGCGGAGATATTAAAATTCTAGGGATGATATTGGGACAACAATCAGGCTTTATAAAGACACCTTGCTACTTATGCTTGTGGGACAGTAGAGATCGTGCCAAGCACTATACACGTCATAAATGGCCGAAAAAGACATCGTTTGAATCAGGTAAAAATAACATCATTGTAGAACCACTGGTTGACCCTAAAAAAATATTGCTTCCACCTCTTCATATTAAGCTTGGTCTCATGAAGCAATTTGTGAATGTCCTGGATAAAGATGGGAAATGTTTCGAATATTTGGCGAAACAATTCCCACAGATGACCGATGCAAAATTGAAGGAAAGCGTTTTTGATGGACCGCAAATTAAAAAAATGTTGAGAGACCAGATCTTTGTTACAACACAGACCAACACTGAAAAGTCGGCGTGGCTTGGCTTTCAAGGAGTTGTTGAGAACTTCTTAGGTAACCATAAGAGCGAAAACTACAAACAAGTAGTCTCTGATATGGTTGACAACTTCGATAAGTTGGGATGCCTGATGAACCTGAAGATGCATTTCTTGCATTCTCACGTAAATCAATTTCCAGAGATTTTAGGACATTACAGTGAAGAGCAGGGTGAACGTTTTCACCAAGATATTAAAGAAATGGAGCGAAGATATCAAGGACGACGGGATGTGATCATGAAGACTTCTGTTGGATGTTGAAAGGAGAGTATGAACGAAAAGGAATAAAACGTAAAAGAAATCCACTTCACAGATTTTTTGAAAAATAAGAGAGTATGTTATCATAAAAAAGAATAATAAAAATGTTCTTTTTTTTAAATATACAAAAAAGATCGAGTTTGATCTACCTGTTTGTTTATTTGCTTTTCAAAGACTTTGTGAATGAGATCTGAACAAATGAATGTAATTTTGACGACTTTTGGGCGATTATTTTATGTTAAAAAAATCCTAGATCTATAAATCTATCACAATATTTTTTCAGTGTCCCAAAAAACATTACGGTAGAATGGAATATAGCTTTAGCACTCGTTACCAATCCCGTGTCTATCTTTTAGGCAGCAAATAGACCTTTTTGGATATTTTTTGGCTTTTTTCAAAGTTAAAAAAAACAAGATGTGATGGGGAAAAACTGACCTCGGATTCGTGTTCAGCGATCCAAAATATATAAGAATAGGGTGGTATGGTCTCTAGGATCGATCACTTTTTTTTTGTGGGACTGTCCTATAGTTTAATAGTTGTTCAATATACGTTCAATGTTTATATTCACCACTTGCGAGCGGAACAAAACAATTGCGTTTTTTTAGTATGGTGTATTCTTTATCAATAAATGACATAGACGAATTATAGCAGAGAATACAAAATGTCTGTTAAATAGTTGGAACAAATCCGGAAAAGAGTTTGCAATTCTATGATACGAAGATATAAAGCGTGTGTAGAAATAGGCGTGTGTAGGAAATCTTTTGTAAACTTTGTAAACACCAGAAACGAGTAGATCACTTGCTTTAGTTAAATTAAATACTTCTTTATAACTCCGGCAATATCAATTTTTCGACCCATATTTATTAGAATCTTTTTCTTATTTTTTGTAAATATTATTTCTCCTTAAAGTCATGAACCCTTTTTTTTAGATATCTAGTATATGAGAATAGGACTCTATATATATATGCCCAGATGGGACAAGAAATCATGACATCAAAATGACGTCAAAATAATGAGGAAAACTCATTTTTCATTCGGTTATTCTCTCATTATTTTGATGTCATTTTGATTTCATCATGATTTTCTGTTCTTCCTGGGTGTGTGCCCACGTAACACATATGATTATTTACAGGTTAACGCCGTTATATGCTACAATAATTGGCTTCTACATTTGGATCCTCCCATTACTGGGATCCGGACCATTTTGGAATCATGTGGTCGAAGAATGCGCTCATTGTGCAAAAAATTGGTGGATAAATCTCTTGTACATTCACAATTACGTCGCAGTTTCGGAATTCGTAATGAAATTGTGTTTATATCAATCCGAATAATCTCCAAAAAAATATCAATTAACGTGTAATTGACATGTAATTTCAGTGTGTCACCCACGGCTGGTATTTAGCAGCAGACTTTCAACTTTTTGTTTGCAGTCAATTTATAATATATGCATTTTGGTGTATGCCGCGCAACATAGGGTATCCTTTTCTCGGGATATTAACATTAATAAGTTGCACTGTATCTTTTGTTGCCACTTACGTATATAATGCATCTTCCATCCTACGATTTACACCATAGTAAGTAATTTCTAATATTGATGCGCGTGTATAATTTTATTCCTAATTAGGCCGTATGCTAAGATTATCTTATTTAATTAGATAGAGGAACAAATACAAATGAACAGAGTTCATCAACCTTAATAAATTACTCATTTTGTTTTATAGCGTAACAAAATTAGCAGATCTACCAGAATTCAAGGCATATTATATCCAAACACATATGTCTGCTACTGGATACCTTGTTGGTATAATAGCTGGTGCAATACTTCACGATCACAAAGGCAGTTCCTGGCGTTTGTCTAAGGTAGGTGAATATGTATTGTAATTTTAGCTGACTTTCATACCATTCTCACGAATGAGAGAAGAAAATGAGACACGAATGTAAAAATTACGCCTAAATAAAATATATCTTCATAAATAGCACCTGTTACAAACAAGTTTATTTGTTTAAGTGCTTTTGTATTAGCCTTGTTTAAATATCGAGCACCCTTGCACCTTTTTTAAATGTAGATAATTCCACGTATATATTAGTTTCTGTAGTGTAATGTAATGTGTTTCTTAATTGATATCCTAAATTTAAACGATACTATCATTTACATGCAAAAAGAAAAGAAAAGTTTAGGAGACAATGTTGACTGGCTAGATTTTCATTAGTAATTATAACCTGTGAAAGCACTCATACAGCACAAAAGTTGCAGCAACATTGCAATATTGTTGCAACGTTGCAGTAATGTTGCTGCAACCTTTTGTGCTGTATGGACAGCTAAACACTATTGTCGAGAGCTTTCCAATTTAAATTTTAACGAAAAATAACGGTACATTAATGAGTACCAATTGGAAAACATTATGTATGTGCATAACTTACATTATATTATGTTTTCAGTTCTGGTCAAACGTCTTGGTTTGTCCGATGCCTGTGGTTTTATATGTCGCCATCCAATATTGGGCGCATAAATTTTTTATATTGAGCAAGCCGAATCTGTTTGAAGAAGCACTTTTTGCATTTTTCCAAAGGCTTATTCCCGCCTTGTGCACATGTTCTATAATAATTTTGTCATCCATCGGCATTCAATCAAGTATGATATACACATTATAAAATGTTTGATGTTTATTTTAAGTTGCGATTTACACTATTGTCAAAAGATTTAAGAAACACGAGACAAATTATTGTTTCTGAATATTAACAATCATAATATTAGCTTGTCTTACGAGTAGGATTACCAGAGGAGTTCGTCAAGAAAAGAGTATGCAAAACGTATAAAAAGAAAGTCATCCAAATTTCGGGTAGCTAAAAAAAGTTCACAAATTTTGAGTAGCTAAAAAAGATTATCGTTTTCCTTAAATATCTCAAAAAATATTAGGCAAATAAAGAAATGTTTGTGACGCCTGGTGTACGTCCGAGCGGGTCCTTCCCGTGAAGGAATTCTCTCGATGGGTCTCTTGGCGAGACACGGCTCGCCGGAACCCAGCGGCGGGAAGGGATCGCGCTCAATTTACTTGCTCCAAGATCGATTAAATAGCTTTATTAGAAGAGAAAATTACCGTGATATAATAGGGGGTGCGTGCGACCGGTAGGCGGTCGCGTGTCGCGATCCGTCCGCGTGTAATTTCGTGGGCCGTCGGAATGCCCGTGGTTCTTCGGGCCACTTTTCCGCACGCTGGGCTGCGGCCGAAGATATCCGCGAGGATCTTCGCATCGTATAGGGTTGGCGAGCCCACTCGCTTTGGGTATGGCGAGGATACTCGCCCCTGGCAATTAGCGAGTACGCTCGCTCGGGGAGATGGCGAGTACGCTCGCTCTTGGAGATGGCGAGTACGCTCGCTTTAGAGGATGGCGAATACGCTCGCCCTCGAGGATGCCGGCGAGTACACTCGCTCCTGGAGATGGCGAGTACGCTCGCTCTATGGAGATGGCGAGTACGCTCACTTTAGAGGATGGCGAGTACGCTCGCCCTCGAGGATGCCGGCGAGTACACTCGATCCTGGAGATGGCGAGTACGCTCGCCCTCGAGGATGCCGGCGAGTACACTCGCTCCTGGAGATCCCGCCTGAGAGGCGGGTCGGTGCCTTATCTCGAGGCGTCGGAAGAAAAGGTGTCTCTTGCCAGTCGCACGGCACCTTATATTGGCCGCCCGTGCGACTCTAGCTCGTTCCCCTTCCGTATCGCGCGACACGGTGGGCATGTGACGGTCGCATGCCGCGCGCGCCGAGGCGGTCCTTGCCTCCGCGCGCGTGCCGCGTGCTTGCTCGCTCTTTTGTTCTTCTCGCTCGCTCGCTCTCTCGCTCCTGTCGCTCGCCCGTTCTTTTCGCTCCTCTCGTTCGCTCGCTCTTTCGCTCCTGTCGCTGGCTCGTTCGTTCGCTCGCTTGCATCCTGTGCAGGGTGCCTAACCCGCGGAATGCATTTTGCACGGCCCGATACGTAACGATCGGCGTATCGTTACATGTTTCAGACAAAAGTTATTTAAATTTATTGGTAGAAAAAGATAATATAATAAAAAATTGGAGTTTCCATTTAAGAAAAGTAATGATCAGTGAATATCTCGAAAGTAGTGTTATTTGTAAACAATATAGTATAGTTGTTTTATGTCCCCCTTGAGATCATATAACTTTTGTTCGAAACATTTTTGCTGAAAATGCTTCATTGAAGAATTATCGAAGAATTATGCGTTTTTTTAAATGGGACACCCTGTATATGTTAGCGGCAAGATATGGCAATTTCAGGTTTATATTTATATTCTAATCAAATAGTTTGAACTTGGTCTAATTAATTTTATTTTCAAAGGAAATGTTAATTATACTTCAATATTTATTTTTCCTACAGCTACTTTGTTAATTACTACCGTTATATTATTATGTCGGTTGTAAAATGTCAAAATTATTTCGGATTTCGCTATTATATCTCCTATGTTTCATCTTACAGAATTTTACCACCGTTTCTTTACATCTCGTTGGATACAGCCATTAGCAAATTTAACTTATGGAGTTTACATGGTACATTTTATATTGCTTACATCTGACATGGAACAAACAAAAATTGCAAAAACGTTTAGCTTTATTAAATCAGTAAGTATGAAAAAATTAATATACATATACAATATATATACAATATATACATATACAATATATACATATACAATATATACATATACAATAATATACATATACAATTCTTCTAATTACCTTTAGAAATAAAATTGAGAACATGCAGGGCGTATCACAGAATCGTAAGAGTTAATATCTATTGCACTCCAGATAGTAGAAAAAATGGTGTAAAGAAAAGTTGAATAGTTTAATAAGCACTATTTTCTTATTTGTGCAATAATAAATCAGGAAGATGTAATTCCATTTTTATTTTAAATAGAACTTCTCAGATTTTTTGTACAAGTTGATTCCTTAAAATATCTTGCACAAAAAAATAGTAGAGTAAGATGACTAGAAAATGAGTAGTTAATGATATATTTCAGATTTATTAAAGTAAATGTTCGAACGTTCCATTATCATACAACAAATATTTGGCATCAAAGGTCTACAGGGATATTACGGACATTGTTTGTAAATACGTATTTATAAACAATGTCTGTAATATCCCTCTAGACCTTTGATGTCAAATGTTTATACTTTAATAAATTTCAAATATCTCATTAACTATATACTTACTTTTTGGCCATCTGTTGGTCCAACGTCCCTATGTTTTTACGCAGAATATTTTAAGGAATCAATTTATATAAAAAAATTAAGAAAGCTGTATTTAAAACAAAATTTTTTCTGGTCAACAAAATTATTGTGTCAACAAAAAAAATTGATTTCATTAGAAAATAAATGCTCATTAAGCCTCTCATTCAACTTTTCTTTGCACCATTTTTTCTACTGCCTAAAGTGCAATAGATATTAACTGTTACATATCGTCGTACATCAATACTGACAAATGTTTGTTGTGTAATGGTAGAATGTTCGAATATTTATTTTAATAAATCTGAAATATCTGAAATCTGAAATATCTCATTAATTACCCATTTTACGGTTGTCTTACACTCTTATAATACTTTTATGCAGAATATTTTAAAGAATCGACTTACAACAAAAAATCGCAATGGTTCTGTTTGAAATAGAAATGCAGTTGTATTTTTCTGATACATTATTGCATCAACAACAAAATTGACTTCATAAGAAAATAGTATTCAATTAAGCCATTCAACTTTCCTTTATATCATTTTCTCTACTATCTAAAGTGCATTAGATGTTAACTGTTACAGTTCTATGAAATACTCTATATATCATGCATTATTAATAGTTTGTCTATTTATTATATGTAATAATTTTTTATCTAGATATTGGAAACCATTCCGGTGCTGCTACTTTCTTACATAATTTCTTTACTTCTTGCAATATGCATCGAGATGCCATTCAGAAGTTTAACAAAATGGTTATTCCTTAAAAACAACACACCTAACATAAATGGAAGGTACTTTAATAATAAATTTCTTTTGTACGTGTGAAACTAATAAGAGTAAGTACGTGTAAAAGTATATATAAACTAATAAGTTTTTTTCTAGGATACTCGGGAACAAAGTAATAAAAATGGAATAATTATGTTATGTCTACATTTTGCCAAGAACGAAAAATTGGGGGAAGCACGATTATCTTTCATGATCCAAGTTTTCTTGTAAATGCGAGTCGATCAAGCGCCGCGGTCGCGACACGACGCCGAGTACATATGAAACAAAAGCGACCGTGGTAGCTTTTCCGGAATTTCGGAGGATCAATTGGTCTTCCGAGTCAAATATTTCAAGCATGAAAATTATAATCAACAATCCGATGACATTTTTCTTATATAATGTCTATCTTACGCATAATTTGCAACAAGCTCGATCAAGATTGGTGCAGGAAATAAAGAGATCTCGAAATTTCGTCAACAAAAAGATCCTTTTCTTTCGCTAAGAATTTTAAGATATCAGATCTCACATATACGCACACAAGCAAAGCGAGTTTCTCCATCAAGCTGCGTTTGCATTGCCACGCGATGTCAGCTTCAGATTACACGTATATGCACGGACACAAGTAATGCGAGTTTATTATCAAATGTGTTTGCAACATACAGGTTGAAATAAAATAAGCATTTCATTATCTCTGCGTTTGCTTTACTTATGTAAGCGTCATTCTATTCTTTATTACTCATTATTACAGGATGGGGGGTTAGAAGTTTACAACCCGAAATATGGAGGTAGATTAGGTTAAGACAACCATAAAAGTCCCATACCGTTTTGCGAGATTCGCAATAATTATCGAGTTATTAATGACAGAAATTTGAGGAATGGGAGCGCGTCGACATAGATAGGCAACAGTTTCTGAATCGACTGGGCCGTGCTGCGGCTTAAGCAGCTGCAACGCTTCTTCAATCATCTATGCCGGCGCGCTCCCACTCCTAAGATTTCTGTCATTAATAACTCGATAATTATTGCGAATCTCGCAAAACGGTATGGAACTTTTATGTTTAATGTCTTAACCCAATCTACCTTCATATTTCCGGTTGTAAACTTACAACCCCCCACCCTATATACGGAAGAAAGTTTCTTAAAGGACCGATTGATTTAGAATCAAATCGCGCTCCTTTCAGTCAAATTTTCTCTCGCAGAACCGATTATTTTCATTTTAGATAATAGTTAAATAATTAAATAGTTAAAAATAATTTAGGCACGGATATATATAAAATCATTAGTGCAATTTCCCACAATGGTGAAAACATAACTGATGGACATTATACAAACGTTGTGCGTGTTTAGTGCATAGAATGGATTTTAATTAATAATTCCAAAATAAAAAAATGCAGTTGGCTTCGAAATTCTAAAAATGCATACATTTTCTTTGCTGAAAAAAATTAATATAATAAGATTTGTACATAAATAATTTATACAAAAAGCAATGAAATCATAACAAAAAGTCTTTACAAAAGAAAAAAAAACGCTATGTACATATGAAAAGAAGTACCAAACCAAAAAATATAATAAAAAAAACATCAAAACTAAACGTACCAAAACAAAATGTACTACAACAAATATATAGCTATAATATAACAACACAAAAAGTACGAAACGAACATTTAAAAAATGCAAATGTTTCATTAATTTTGTTAAAAAAAAGTGCGATCAGTATAATTAACCAAGTACATAATAAACCAAGTTCATAATTAACAAGTACATAAATTTGTTTATTACCAAAGTCTCGTAAACGTTTCTGAACGATATGTGCTACATAGTATGGTTTTACGGAATATACCGTAATTTATTATTTAAAAGAAAACGTAAAAAAAGGCGCCAAGTACACGCGTCCCAGCGTTTGTTCCGCAAAAAAAAATCCGTATAAAAAACATTGATTTTTTAAAAATTGTTTTTGATATTATAAAGGAATAAAGACGAAGATAATAATTCTCGGATATACAGGGCGGTTGATTATAAGTTGCCAACCCGAAATGTGAAGGTAGATTGTGTTAAGATAAACATAAAAGTCCCATACCGTTTTGCGAGATTCGCAATAATTATCGAGTTATTAATGACAGAAATCTGAGGAATGGGAGCGCGCCGATATAGATGATTGGAGAAGCGTTGCAGCTACTCAGGCTACAGCGCTGCCCACTCGACCCAGCAATTGTTGGCGGCGTGCGGCGAGACGTAGGTCCGGCGAGATAAAATAACGAATAGCAGCGTATTGTCTTTCCCGCGCACCGGCAACAGTTTCTTTTTTTTTCTTTTTGACGAGGAGGAAATCCATCATGGATACCCTGATCCTCGGGGAAGAATCAGGGTTATGCCGGACTCCTACCTAAAACCTCCCCGGGTGGCGCTGCGAAGAGACTTGGTTGGGGGCCCAGTGCCTACGTATCTGCGATTGGAGCCCCGAATCCAGATAGACTATCATTGTCTTCCCCGAGGGGTGGGTGGGGGAGGGGGAAAGCGAGCCGGGGCTCATCTTCGACCACCGCTCCCCCAGAGGGAGGGGGAAGCGATCCAAGAATCGCTTCAACCACCGCTCCCCCTTCCACCTCTCACGCCCCGCTTTTTTAGCTAGGAAGGGGGAAGCCGGCCAAAGGGTCTACGCTTCAACCACCGTTCCCAGCCAGGCGGGACGCCGCCAACAAGATGATGTGCGGCTGGCTGATCCACCTTCTCAGCCAGCCGCCCTTTGTTTGGAGGGGTTGATTGAGGTGCTGGGAACCCCCGTCCAGCACCCTACCCGGTGGTTACGAGGGGAAAAATCTTATCCCCTAGCCGCCGGGCATACCCGCCTCTAAGAGGCGGGGAGGGGTTAGAAAACCCGTCCCTTCACGCCCACTTTATTGTGAGCTTTGGGTAGGGGGGGAGAGGTGGTTGTTGGCGATTATCGCCTCACTCTCCCCCTTACCCTCATCCGACCCCTGTCCTCGGGGCCGGCGGTCGACTGGAGAGTGAATGGTCCACCCGCCTTCCCGCTCTTCTCACTGCCATTAATGGTGCAGAAGACGGCTCCTGCCACCATTCCTGTTCCTGCGGGTCGTTGCGCCCTCCCTCGTTTCACTACTTTCCGGGGAGGGGCACCGCGTCCTGACATGGGTGCCTTCTTTTCCGCTGTGGCGGGAGAGATGCTATCGGAGGGGGAGGAGGTGCTGGTATCCCCATTATCCTGACAGCCTCTTCCGCAGAGGAATCCGCATCCCCCTTCCTGCTCCTACTCCTCGATCCGCACCAAAGTCGGAGTTGCTGTCGTCTTCTCTGCTTCCGACCCCGACCTTCCGCCTGCCGGCGTGTCTCCTCCGCGGCCTCCTTCTGCAACATGACTGCCTTACAGAAAGAGGCGAATATCCCCCATTTTCTCTCGCTCCCCACAATTGCGTTCACTATCGTAGGGAGCGAGAGATCGTGTCCCAATTCCCGGATCACGACTCCGCGCTCGGCAGCCCATGCCGGGCAGTCCTGCAGTGTGTGTTGCGCGGAGTCGTGATCAGCATTGCAATGGTGGCAATGCGCTGTACCTTCCTTGCCTATTCGACACAGGTACTCACTGAAATATCCATGTCCTGTGAGTACCTGTGTCATCCTGAATGTCAGGGTCCCGAATCCCCTGTCCATCCACTCCTGCAGACAGGGGTGGACAGCCTCGACAGTCCTCCTCCCGTACTTGGTGTTCTCCAGGCGTCTTTGCCATCTCCGGAGGAGGAGCTGTCGAGCCTGGTGCTTCATCCGGCCCCGGCGAACGCCTGACCTGCATCCCGTTTTCATGAGCTCCCCCCTTCTCATGTATATGTTACGATACATGAGGGCGAGGAGCTCCAGGGGAGGCATGGCCGCCAGGACCGTCACCGCCACGTGGGATACCGTCCTATATCCTCTAATGACTCTGACCGCCACCGCTCTGTGCGCTCTACGCAAGAGCGCTTGCAGTGGACGGCTGGCGGCCAGAGCCTCAGCCCATACCGGCGCTCCATACAGCGCCACTGAATTAAGTATCCCAGCGTAGAGGCGACGAGCCTTTCTGTCCAGTCCCCCGATATTGGGCATTAACTTACAAAAGTTGGCCGAGACCGCCCTCAATCGGGGGGGACCAGACGGCTTATATGCTCCTTGAAGCACTAGGTGCCGTCCAAAGTGAGGCCCAGATATTTCATCTGGGCCTCTATCGGGACTCTGACAGTCCCCACCTGTATCTGGGTCTGGGGTGGCTTCATCTTCTTCCTTTATAGGAAAATCGCTTCCGTTTTCCTTTCAGCCACCGCCAGATCCAGACTACGGATGGCATGTACAGCGCATGCCACCGCGATGTTGGCCCTAGTCGTCCCCCCCCCGGCCAGTATGAGCGTGTTATCAGCGTAGCATATCATGCTACTGCCGGGGGGAAGGATTGTTCGGAGGACTGAGTTGTATCCGAGGTTCCATAGCAGGGGGCCCAAGACAGACCCCTGTGGAACCCCGCAACTCATCCCCCTCTCGCTCACTTTACCGTCAGCGTCCTTCCAGCTCAGGCGCCGATCCCGGAAGTAATCCTCGATGACAGCCACGAGGTAGAGTGGGAAGCGGAAATAGTTCCTCATTGCCTCCACCACCCTACCCCAGAGCAGAGTGTTGAAAGCGTTTGCTATATCCAAGGATACAGCAACCGCCACCCCGGCCCTCTGCACGATGGCCTCCGAGAGGGTACGTAGGTGCAGGATCGCATCTACTGTTGACCTTCCCTCCCGGAAGCCATATTGGCCGTCATCGAGATTCGGACCTTCCCGGGCCATATGCTTCGTGAGACGGGCTGCAATCACATGTTTAAAGAGTTTGCCCGCCTCATCAAGGAGACATATGGGGCGGTACGCGGAGGGAGAGTCCTCCGGTTTGCCCTCTTTTCGGAGGAGGACCACATTGGCCCTCCCCCAGACTGGGGGGAACCTACCTTCCCTCAGGGCTTGGGAGAACAACTCCGCAAACCTCTTATTCAGGTACCCCGAGGCTAGGGTTAGGACTCGGCCGGGGATACCGTCCGTTCCTGGGGCCTTGCGGCTTTTGACCTTTTTTACGGCCCCGGCCACCTCCTCCTCGGTGACCCCCGGTACCCCCCCTTGTTGTTCGGGGGTAGGGACACTGTACGGGCCAATAGAGTCTCCCTCCCTAACCGGGAAGAGGATCCCCATGACTCGTTCTAAGAACCGGGGGTCCAGCGTTTCCATTAACGGGGACGTCCATGGCTTCAACTTTTGCATAGCCATCTTGTATGGACGCCCCCATGGATCCGCGTCTAGCGACTGGAGGAGGGCGTACCACCCTTTTCTCCTGGCCGCCCCTATTGCATTTTGCAGCGCCGCTGCTGCCTTACAGAAATCCTTACGGGCGGCCAGGACGGCCTACCTATACAGGTCTTTTTTTTTTTTTTTTTTTGACGAGGAGGAAATCCATCATGGATATCCTGATCCTCGGGGAAGGGCCAGGGTTATGCCGGACTCCTACCGGCTAAAACCTCCCCGGGTGGCGCTGCGAAGGGACTTGGGTCGGGGCCCCGGTGCCGCGTAACTGCTAATCGGGGCCCCGAGTCCAGGTTTGCACCTTCTGTCCCTGAGGGGTGGGGTGGGGGAGGGGGGAAGCCGACCCGAGGGTCCGCTTCGACCACCGCTCCCC